ATGGTTAGGACAGCATCAGTCAGTGCACAGTAACTAACAGAAATGGTTGGTTATGGAGGACGGTTAGTGACAGTGTGGATTTCCTGCTTTTTGTTTTTTAAGTCGGTTCCTGGACTGGGGAGATGGCTCAGAGGTTAAGAACAGAGGACTCAAGCTCCATTCACAGCACTGACTTCCAACGGCTCACTGTAGGGGATCCAGCACCACCCAGCACAGACACACATGGAAACACATACTTAAAAGAATTTCAAATTAATCTTTAAACTGATTTCCTAATTTTTCAGTGAGCGAAATGGGTACCCATCCATACCATTTCCATCTCTGGAAATTGAGGCTTGTTGCCCAGAAACATTCCCAATATCTCTTATCCTGTAAACTTTCCTGCAGTGACATGTAACCCATAGCACTTTGAGACAAGAAGGGACAGGTGGCCTGGTGTGGGACAGTGTGGAATGCCAACTGGCAGGACATGTTTCCTGGGGGACACGAATTCACTTGTGGGGAGTTGTTCTAGTAGGGAGGATCCTCAGGAGGTGGGCATGGCTTCTTAGAAAGGAAAGTTGAATCTGCATAAATGGATCGGGGTGGTGGGTACTGAGGTGCACTGAGGTGGGGTCCTTGAGACCAGGAGTTTCTGCTACCTGGAGCTGGGGGACGGAGGCCTGATCCAGGTAGAGGGGAAGAGAGGCACATGAAAGACTAAACCACAGAATAGTATGTGTTGAAAGGGATGTAGAAGAATGAGTCAGTTGGGGATGAACCGGGGCGTCTGGGGGTGGGAGACATGATTCATTCAACTTCGGGTACCTCAGTTTGCAGCGAGAGATCGTAAGTCAGCGAGGGAGCTTCATTCTTCAGAGGCAAAGATGAGCTAGCTTCCAGGTGAGAGGAGAGAAGAACTTGGGGTACCTGAGAGACAGTCATCAAAAGAGATGGGCGGGCCAAGGTTAGCGGTTAAGCTCCTTCAGGATAACTGTGCTTACGGTGATAATAGTTATCTCTGTGTAATGGCATGTGGTCAGTTATGATAGCAGATTGATGTAATTACCATAGTAGCCAGCACATTCCTGAGGGAGGAGTGCCTTTATGTCTTGAACCAAACCCAGGAGGGCCCACTGACTATATGATTAATTCGACTTTTGAAACCAAGGACGCATGTGCCTGAAAAGTCTGGTTAACAACACATAACCTCTTTCAGTACTGCTGTCCTCATCCATGAGATGACAAAATGCAAGTCACAGACTCTCTGGACGCCCCCTCTCCTCCTGCAAACATATAAAGATAACCGGAGAGAGGAAAAGCATCTAGAGCGCGGGTAGCTGTGACTGTGTGGATTTCACACTTGGAATCGAGAGGGAGAAGGGTGAGGGAAGACACAGCCTCATTGTCTGTCTTGCTGAACCGCTTTCTTTTTTAAACCGTAGGGGAAAAAATATAATTTAAAATATTCTGAAAATGATTCATTAAAAGCCTACATGTGAAGGCGCTGTGGGGCTGGGGAGTACACAGAAGGTGACTCCGTCTCCCCTTAAAGCTTCGCTTCCCTTTCGGGGATGAAAATGTTAATGGGAAAGAGCAGACACAGGTGAGGTTCCTTCAGGGTTCCTGGCCACAGGGACCTGTACCGTGCGGCTCTGGTGAAACAGATTGAGGAAAGAAAACAGAGCGGCTGTCTTAAGGACTGTCCCATCCCCCGGGCATGGTACCAGGGGGTGGAGTGCTTGCTTTAGTGCAGGAAACTCTCGTCCTTGGAGGCAGCAGCTGGGGTGAGCTCAGCAAGAGAAGTAAGGCAGGAAGAAATGCTGCCTATTTCACAGCAGGGAGAGTAGTCCCAAAAGGTGATGTAGGAAAGTCGGCATTTGACCTGGGCATGAAGCGATGGGGGAATTGGCCCCGGAAGGGCGAGCAAAGGGATTCCAGGAAGAAGAACCTGAAGCAAGAAAGAAAAATACAAGCAGGGAGAGACAAAAGAAAGGGGCTCAGTGTAGGACCCTCTAACTAGAGGACGGGTGACAGTGTGCACACAGCACTAAGACAGTGGCTGATAGGGCCAACTGGGGCCTGCCAGTAGTGACCACTCGTCAGTCCAGTGCCGGCTATAGAGTTTCACACCTCGTCAGCACCCATCGCTGCTCCTCCTGAGTACCATTAGACGGTCATCCTAGAGTAATGTCTGGCTGAGCTAGCCCTGTAGATGCCCAAATAACACACTCCTGGGTGGTATGACTCATCTTGCAAGGACAGCCCCATTGTTGCCTCCTCCAAGAAACCCTCCCCCGAAACCATCTCTTGGCCAGGGTTCTAACAAACCCTTCTTTGGCTTTGGGATGCTGGCACCTCTGCACCCTGACTTGTCATTGCCGTGTACAGCGAGCATCTTTGCCTCCACCAGAGGCAGGGATCAAAATTGGTTTGTCATAGGCCTCTTGACAGGAAGGGCTCAGAGGATGAGCCCAGACTGCCTCGGGGTCACCTGGGGAGTTTTTCCAAGAACAGATCTCCAGGCATACCGCAGTCACTTTCAGCATGGCTTCCCGTGGGTTTGTGATCTCTGCACCCGCCTGCTTGCTATCTCATGCTAAATAAGGCTTGCAGAACACATGCAGGATGCACAGTGATGGGGGGGCGGTGCAGAGTGATCAAATCGGAAGGGGGTCGCCATACCCTGACTATGTGCAGATTGCAGATGTCCAGGCTCCTCCTGCCCCGTGACTGGAAGCACTGTCTGGAGGAGGTAGAGTTCTGATTGGCCGTCAGGAGTTGGCCAAGCTATGTGAAGCCTTTCAAGGAAGGACGTGGCTGGCCAGGGATCATTAAAGACTTGAAGCCACAAGCGTTTAAAACAAGGCTTTGGACACATATGGGAGGTAGGATTTCACTATGGAGTAGCCAACATTTTATCAAGCACGCTAGGTACCAAGCACTCCAAAACAGGATACAGTAGGTGGCAAGAGAACCATAACTCACTCCTGGGATTAGCCGGCATACCTAACATGCCCACAGCAGGTGACCTGATACCCTGTAGCCCACGGGAGGGTCGGGTGATGGAAGCTGAGCCAGCGAGGTGCCTCAGTAGCTTACCATAGCCTTCCTCTTACCATCCGTGCAGGTTTGTGTGTGCCCAGCTGCCCAATGCTGTGCTGGAGAGCATCAGTGTCATTGATACACCAGGGATCCTCTCCGGGGAGAAACAGAGGATCAGTCGAGGTAAGCGGCATTCCTGGCGGGTGTTGAGCTGGTGGTCACCCACTCCTGGCCTCTCCTGTCGTATCTGCTATGTGCCTCTGAGTAGCCGACTCATTACCCTTTCAGTGTGGGTTTAGGAATTTTGAAGGCTGGCCTTGAACTCCTGATCCTTTTGTCTCTCCCTCTTAAGTGTTGGGGTTACAGGTCTGTACCCCAATACCCCACTGGCCTAGCCTTTCTGTGCTATGCTTTTAGCAGGAAAATCAGATGAGATGCACTCTCGCCAAACCTGGTGCTAGCAGCCTGGACTGGGACCAAATTAGCACTCAGAAGTCTGCCTCCGGGAAGGGTCAGCCTTGTACTGGCAAGTCTCTCTGGGAAGTGGCCAGGGCTCTCTCCTGAGTTGACCTCAGGTGACACAGGCCTCCCTGTGGCATGTGCCTCAGCACCATTCGCTCCATGACCCCTTACTGATGTAGATCTGTCTATCCATCTTGCCACCGCAGCAGGGTCCAAGAACCACTTCCTCAAGGGCATGGCCCCTATGCAACTCAGTACCCATTTGCTCCCAAGCCTCAGAGAAGATAGTCATAGACCAGCAGGCATATGGTCCATGGCTGTGGATCCTTGAGGCTTAGCAGGGCCAGGAAAGGTTCTGAGCTTCTCTCTCCTGCTAGGAGAAACTCTCCTCTAGGGAATGTGAGTATAGAAAGGCTCAGCTCCTTGGGGCCACACAGTAGCTGTGTGTGAGCCCAAGCAATAGGAGAGAAATAGCCTTCTCTAGGTGAGCCCCGGACAGGCCTTCCTAGAGCCCAACTTCTAAAGCCGTGTTGGGAGTGAGGCATCACGAAGTATCTGAGCAGGACCCCTCCCGCCCTGTCCCAGGAGGTAAAACCTGGAAAGGAGAGAGGAAGGAAGCAGCTGAATCAAGAGGGCATCTAGAAAACCGTGTTTCCAATTCCTATAATTGATGACCTGTGATGAGGTCCAGGAAGCCTGGTCCCTTGGCCCCTAACTCTGGACTCTGGTGGAATGAGGAGCAGTCAGTCTGCACCCCCAGAGCCCTGGGTCTGAGTCTAGGCCTTAAAGGATGTAAGACTCACAGGGCAGTCCACAGGGTAACAGTGGCAGAGTAGTACCACAGGCTGCCGGGGTTTGCGTCTCATGCACCTGCTAGGCCAATGCAGCCTGGCCTGCAAGCAGGCCTGGAGAGGACAGCCTTGAGGGGCCCAAGGGCACTAGACTTGGACTTCTAGTTGAGGTCTGTGGCCTGACAAAACCCCTGATGTCTCAGGAAAATGCACTGTAGAGCCTTATGACAAAGTCCACAGTCCTTTTCCCTCCTTAGCGGCTCTCCAAGGGTGCACGTTACATGACCAGGGTCAGCTGTGTGCTTCATCACCCTTGAATTTGGGCCTGTGCCAATGTACAACGCAGCCTTGTCTTCAGGGACTCCCGTCTTCCACCTTCCTGTCCTGCTCTGTTCTTTTCCGTTCTCCACGTCCTCCCCTGCCTTTGTCTTCAGACCTGCGCTACACACACTGGGCACTGGCGACCTTGATTGTATTTCCACCCCCTCCTTCCAAGAACTAACAACGCATCAGGCTCCTCCCTTCTCTGCACAAAACAATGAGTCTGCTAGGGTGCTGTCTGCCGTCCTGAGTCCAGACCAATGCAGCTGCTGGCCAAAGCAGTCAGAGAATGAACAGAAGCTGGGGGTGGGGCTGCCACCAGCCCAGAGCAGTGCTGATTTCAGCACCCTGTAAAAAACAGAGTCGGGGAGGATATCAGATACCCCAGTGATCCAGGTGGTGGTGGTGATGGGACCCGGTTCAGGAACATTGTCTGGGTACACATGCTCTCCCATCGTTCCTTGTGGTTAGCCATAAAGCCAGAGTTCCACTTTAAGCCCCTCGACTCCCCCCCGCCCACTTATACATTCTTCACACATATACCCACACCCTGCCTCCCCCGCATACACATGTCTATACCCCTCCTGACATCCACACACAAGTGTCTACACGGATCTAAAGTTGATTGCCCAGACTTCCTTCACTTATGGGGTTGGCCATAGTAGATTGGGTACTTCCCACCACCCTCCTCAAGCCCAGGTGGGCCAGGCCCCCTCAGATGGTCCTGCTGATTAAACCCACAGTCCCCTCCCCATGCCTCTGCCTGGCTCAGGGCTTATGGCTCAGCAGAAGAGTTAGAATCAAGTCAGCACAGAGACACCTTACTCTAGACTGCCCAACCCTTGACAGTTGCTCTTCGGAGCTCCCAGAGCCTCAGCCATCATTGGGATGAGCCTTCTGCCCTAGGCTAATGTCAAACAGTGTGGTCTTTGTCTCAGCGTGGCCTTCTGTCCAGGCCGGGGGTCGGGGTGTATGTGTATAGAGAAGACAAGTCCATGAAGCTTCAGGCTGCGCTCAGTTCTGAAAGAAGAGTCTGGAGGAGGCAGGAAAGGCAGACAGAAAGCTTGCTGTTCCTGGAAGGGGCAGGATGTGGCTGGTCCTGGTTCATTACCGGGAAGGAGCACGGATGTAGCAGTGTGCAGAGGGTGCTGGAAGGCCTCATGCCTTCTCACATGGAAGGCACATTTCCTGACTGTGTTTCAGACTGAATCCGCCAGTTCCACACTGGGAAAGCCACCTTGGGGCTTCATGCTCTCATCCCACGACTGCACATAAATGGAGACCCCTGGCCCAAGTGCTCAGTAGGCTCAGAGCAGATGACACAGTTGGATGTGAGTCCTGGTCTCCCAGGTCCCAGTCCTCAGCGTTCAGTACATTCCCAAAACTATTGGGAAAGACCAGGCAGGGAATGGGGGCTAACTTGTCTTCTCCAGGGTTCCTCTTGAGACTTCAGGGATCTGTGCCAATACAACTTGTAGCCTACATCCATAGCCTACCCCTGAGCACTAAGGGGTTCCCAGGCTCCTCAGAGAATGAGCTGCTAAACCCATGCATGGACAGAGCGGCTGGGCCCCGATGCCTTCTGAAGCCTCACTGCCAGTTTCGTGGTCACCTGAGGCCTGTGATGGGTCCGCTTGGACCATTCTTTGTGGTTGTTTCCTGCAAGTGTCCAGGGTATTGCTCCATATTGTATTGTCAGCTAAAGGCTCCCATTTTTGAAGCTGCATGTTTCTATATCTCCCTCTTTTTAAAGCATCCCTAGAACTTAACAGATTTGGGAGGGGTATGCCATATGTCCATTATAAGTAAACCTCGGGCCTCTGGGTTGCAGGCTCACCCGGGACTAAGAGCTAAGAGAGTGTGGATCTGGGTTCTACACCTTCATTTGCTAGCATCTGGTCCAACTGTGTACTTCGGCATGCCCTTAACTCACCTCTCTATGTCTGTACTCCCTCTTGTGCAAGATGCGTACACCCTGTTCACTCTGGGTAATGAAAGGCTGTAGAGATCCTCCACTGAGTTTAGTTTTGCAGCTGAAAATGCAAAGAACACCGCACCGTTTATCAGACAGCGAGGGAAGTGCTGGGTTATTAAGGAGTGGCCCTGCTTATTGAGTTTGTCTCATTGATTTCCTCCTGCCTGGCATTAATTAGAAATGCGTTCTTCCCAGTCCCTGGAGCCCGGGGGCAGGAGCTGCAGATCCCTGCAGGCTTCCCAGACTCTAGCCTGGAGCCTACCCATTGGATCTCTGGGTGCCGGCAGACATTCCAGGAGGAATTCTGTCTCTCCACCCTATGATTCAAAGACCATGGGCTGTTGAAAGTGTTCAGGAGTAGTTACTGAGGGTCTCGGAGTCATTCCTGAGATAAAGCGGTGTATCAGCCTTGGGCATGCTGTGCATTCTTGCATTAGGCCAGTCTTCATCTAGACTGAGTTCTCTCCTCCTCCTAGTATCAGGTTTGCTTTTCATGACTACACCATGGGCCCTCCATTAAGCCAGTTTTTACTATCCATACTTTTTTTTTACATATAAGTAAAGGAGATTCAGACTTGCAGAAGGGCATTCAGAGAACAAATGGGAAAGAAAGCCCTGTGTCCCCCTCCTGACTGTGCCCAGTCTTTGCCTTTCCCGTGCCTCTCTTTCTGGGCTTACCTATAAGTCCAGGCTATGGAAGCAATTCACATTCATCCTAGAGGTTACATGGGCCCCCTAGTAGTCAGGAGCTAGGAGGGTGAACATTGAGGGGAGCTTGCAGAGGCACGGCTTCAGTCTCACAGTCTTCCTAACCGCACACCACAGAGGAGGTTTCTCCCTGCTTGTCAGTCGATAGCAGCTACCAGAGCCTGCAGAATTTGCAGAAGTGGGAGGATTAATTGGAGGCCTCTGTGCTCATCCCCATCATAGGAAAGGTTCCTGGAAGCCGTCTGCTCGTCAGCAGACTGGAGACTTCCTGTAGGCATGCCCAGGGCACAGAGGCAGCGGCCTCCAGCCTTTCCCTCTCCCTAGATATAAAGGCATTCTTGTGATTCATCTCCATCTTACTGTGTTCCCCATCCTCACACCTCTGGATGAAGACATAGAGAATTGTAAACCAAGAAAGGAAGTGCAGAGATCATCCATCCCGGAAACGGAGACCAAGGATAGGCGAGGGGATTCTGTTGCTCAGCATATCAAGTTAATAACTGAGTAGAAACTACAGGGAAGTCACCCAGGCCAGTGATCCTACAGAAACACAGACCCGCAGAGCAAGCTCCATCCTGTGGCGACACTCGGAGTTCTCTATAAAGGGACCCGGTGTTTGGCCAAGTAAGAATGTCACATGCTTTTCTTAGATTTGATCCTCACAACCCTGTGGTCAAGGCATTGGTGGGTCTGGGTTTAGAGAGTGGAAGACTAAGGCCCAGAGATGAGCAGTTCTCTGTTTCCCTGATGTAAAAGGCAGAACAGGATTCTGTGTATACTATGTGCAGCAGATGCAGATGGAGGACCTACCATGTGCACCCTGGGTGCAATGGGGATGGAAGAGGATAAGGCTACTTTGTTCAGGTTGGGGCCACAGTGAGAGGTCCCTAATTACATGAGGGAAATGGGTACCCATTGTTAGGGAGATGTAGCTCAGTTTGTGAAGTGCTTGTTATGTAAACATTAGGACCCGAGTTTGAATCCTGAAACCCACATAATAAAAGCTGGGCATAGAAGCCACAGTGTCCCCTTTTATTGGTAATCCCGGCACTGGGGAAGCTGAGATGGGGGATTCCTGGGGCTTTCTGGGACACCAGCATAGCCCATTTAGTGAGTTCCAGGCCAAAGAGAATATTGTATTATTTCGATACAATAATATGTATTGAAAAACATGGAGGATGGACCCTGAAGAATGACCTTCCCAAGGCTGGCCTCTGGCATCCACATTCATGAACACAGATGTGCATATCTCTACACACACAGAGAGAGAGAGAAAGAGAGAGAGAGAGAGAGAGAGAGAGAGAGAGAGAGAGAGAGAGAGAGGATAAATGCCTACCCAAACCTCCTGGATCAGACTTGAGGTGTTGTCTCAGAGACTTCATGATCCATTCACTTCCTAAAATCAATTGGCAACCAGTCCCCCCAATATGAGTCTTTTGAATTCTACTACATAGCCAAACCATGACCTTCTCCATGATCCACAGCTGCTTGGCACCGAGCAGAACAGGCACTCTAGAGTTCCCGGAACCAGCGGATTTAAAGTAACTCAGTGCTGGATAACAAGGTGTGGCTGCCAGCCGCCCAGTCACATCCTCAGGAAAGGACTCTGTACAGAATAGGAGTTGGGAATTTGGGACTGCAGCAGAGGAGTGAGGAAGGAAGTGAGCCTGGGAGCTACAGGAGAACAAGTCACTTGGGTCTATAAGGGGTTTGTCCCAACCAGGAATGGGCATGGTTCGAACCTGCATCGGTCACTTGCATCTTCTGTTTTGCTGATGGTACCTTGTTAAGAATTTCCGAGTCTTAATTCAAATTCAAATTCAAAACAGAAACCAGTCCAAGCTGATGAGGATGCGCTGCTGGAATCTCAGCACTTTGAAGGCTGAGGCAGGGGTGGGTATGGTGTGGGGGATGGGGACGGTGGTCAAGTTTGAGGCTAAACTGGAGTTTCTAAGAAGTTCAAGGCCCATATGAGCTACTGCAAGACAGTAAGACCCTACCTCAAAATCTCAGCACAAAAGCAATGTCTAGACTTTTTTTTTTCCAGCAGGGACTCTAGCCCCTGACTTTAATAAGATGATAACTGGGTAGTGGCTGCCCTTTGTGGGAGTAGCAATGCTTATAATAGAATCCAGCATTTATTGAGCATCATCTTCATCATCCTACTGGCCAAATATTCACTAATGACCATTCTATAGATGGAAAATGCTAAGGAGGCCTGGGGCTATATCTCAGTAAAAGAGCATTTGTATAGCATGCATGAGACCCTGGGTTTGATTCCTACTACTGCACACACACACACACACACACACACACACAGAGAGAGAGAGAGAGAGAGAGAGAGAGAGAGAGAGAGAGAGAGAGAGAGAAATTTGTTCAGGGTCAAAGAACCAAATGGGAGGAGCCAGGCTCTTTCCAAGACTGTGTTGTCTTATGTCAGACCCATCACTATATGTCCATGCCCCAAAGCTCCTCCCATTGACTATGCCTCTGCCACAGGGTATGATTTTGCTGCTGTCCTTGAATGGTTTGCTGAGCGGGTGGACCGCATCATCCTGCTCTTCGACGCCCACAAGCTGGACATCTCTGACGAGTTCTCAGAAGTCATCAAGGCTCTCAAGAACCACGAGGACAAGATGCGAGTGGTGCTGAACAAGGCGGACCAGATTGAGACCCAGCAGCTGATGCGGGTATATGGGGCCCTCATGTGGTCCCTGGGGAAGATCGTGAACACACCAGAGGTGATCCGGGTCTACATCGGCTCCTTCTGGTCCCATCCCCTCCTCATTCCTGACAACCGGAAGCTCTTTGAAGCTGAAGAGCAGGACTTGTTCAGAGACATCCAGAGCCTCCCCCGTAATGCTGCCCTTCGAAAGCTCAATGACCTTATCAAGAGAGCCCGGCTGGCCAAGGTAAGGCTGGTCCTGAAAGGTGGAGTATAGATAGGTTGATAGGTAGGGGTCAGTTGTAAGAACTGCAGTTCCTTGGATAGGAGAGTGTGGGTGGTTAGATGGCCAGGTTGGTTCCATGCGCACCTCAGTGACCCTCAGAATAGCTATGCTTTTATAGTTTCTCTGTGCCTTTTTCTGTATCTGTAAACGGAACAGGCTGATGTCGATGTAGAGAAACAGTGTGAAAATCCTCACCACTGCAGTAGATGCCTTCGTGCTCGGTGGGTACCACTGTGGTCAGCTCTGCAGCATCAGCAATGGCAGCATTCTAACCCCCACCACTGTGACCTTACTTCCTGATATTCTTACCATGCTAACCCAGCACTGTGAGGGATGGAGAGAGACATGGTCTTGGAAGCAGAGGCAGGAGGAAGGACTAGAAGGGCCAGTCTGGGCTCCTCATGAGGTTGTTCTCTGTCCCTCTTTGTCAGGTCCATGCCTACATCATCAGCTCCTTGAAGAAGGAAATGCCCTCAGTGTTTGGGAAGGACACCAAAAAGAAGGAACTGGTGAACAACCTGGCTGAGATTTATGGCCGGATTGAACGAGAGCACCAGATCTCCCCTGGGGACTTCCCCAACCTGAAGAGGATGCAGGTAATGAGGGTCAGAGACGCTATGGAGGGAGACAGTATCGCACTAGCTGGCTGCCAGAGAATGAAGGGGCAGGCAGAGCTCCTGGGAGAAACCCAAAGTCGGATGCAAGGAGATGACATTAGATATGTCCTTCCTGATGGACCACTGCTCACAGCAAGTGCCATAGCCAAGCCAGGGAGAAACAGCCCAGCATCCCCAAAGGCATGGGTGTGTTTGGTGACACTGAAGACCTAATCTAGTGAGGGGCATATCTCCACAATCTCTAGGATAACAATAAAGATCCTTAAGTGCTTCGGTTATTCCCTTCTTGGGAATAGTTTGTGGCAGCATCTTTGGGGGATGTTGGAAGCCCTTGAACCTAGGGCCAACACTTGGGGTGTGTGTGTGTGTATATGTGTGTGTGTGGGGGGGGGTCTTCTCAGAAGGAACATCTTCATCTGCCTTATGTACAAGAATCAGCTAAGGTCTTAGCATTTTCCCAACGAAGTGTTCACATTACCCTTAAGTAGAAAAGCTGGAAACTGTCCTCAGCAGCCAAGCAAGAAGGCACCATGCCATAGAGACTAGATGCACACTGAGCCTTTGTGTCATCTCGAAACAGGGGGTGCAAAGGGGGTTGTACACAAGTGCTGGGAACCCAGGGAAATATCTTGTCTGCAAGATCCTTAGCATGGAGCCCTGTTCTGCTCTCCATAGCTCTTCTTCCTGGCCCAGCCCTGGAGAGGAGGTGAGAAGTGTCCTGCCAACCTCGCCCTTGAACTGTAGCTGTGGATATTCTTTAAGTTTTCTGCAGTGGACTCCATGTGCCAATCCTTGTTTCCTGGTCTCTTCCCCTACCCACATAATGAGATTGCTGTGGCCAGACCAGGACAACAGTGGGCAGCTGTGTCCTCCTAGAACAATAGTTCTCAACCTGTGAGTTGTAACCCTTTTTGGATGGACCAACTTTTCCACTGGGGTCACCTAAGACTACCAAAAAACACAGATATTTATATTACTATTTATAACAGTAGCAAAATTATAGTTATGAAGTAGCAATAAAAATGATGTTATGGCTGGGGGTTTCACTACATCATGAGGAGAAATGTTAAAGGGTTGAAGCATTAGGAAGGTTAAGAATTACTGAACAAGAAACAAGTAGAAATTGGATGTTCTAGGTTGAGGATCTTTCAAGACTATAAAGGTGTTGGCGGAAGTTTCTTGTCAAGGAGCTGCTCGATCCCAAATACCCAGCAGCTGCTCCCCAAATTACCACACAGAGGCTTAATGTTACTTATAAATGCTCGACCAATAGCTCAGGCTTATTATTAGCTAGCTCTTACATTTTAAGTTAACCCATATTTCTTATTTACACTCTGCCACATGGTGGTACCTTTTCTCAGTATGGTGTGCCCATCTTGCTCTCTCCATGCAAAGGTCTTGAAAGGAGAGCATCTTTCTTTTATGATGTGGGCTGGTAGCCCTGGCAAGGGGACCAGCTTTTATAAAGTCAACATGCCTGCCAGTGCCTACTAGGTCAGAATGCTTGGAAGGGGGAAGGGGTTCAGACTTTTGAGACATCTCACCAGGCAATTCCAGTGAGTATCCTAATTGAGAACAGTAAAGCTGAAAGTGACCTTTAGTTTTTGGTGTGGTTATAGTTGCCTTAATTTTCAACCCTCATCACCTTGACATTCTCACTAAATATTAATAGTGTATGGCTTCTCTACCTCCCTGAGGAGAGTAAACTAGTAGGCAGGAAATGAAAGCAGTTTGCTGTGTGTTTTTCAAACATAAGCTCTCCTGGAGACCCACAGGACTCCTTCTTAGAGGGCCACCACCTTCATGAGTCACCATTTGACAGCCAAAACTTACTTCGGAAGGAATATACCTTTTGTAATAATATTTAAAGAGATGCTTTTGCTGTGCTTCTTCATAAAAAGAGCCATCCTTAGCCCCCCAGGCCCTTGTTCTTCTCGTCTCCTCACACAGTCCCTTGGCCTCACTGCTTCACCAGAAAGAACTGGGGAAGCATCCTAGAGTTAGTAGGAAGTGCCTTCCCCGATGTGGAAAATCTTCCCGTATATTCTACTCCCTCCTTTTTCCTGCTCTTCCCAGGACCAGCTGCAGGCCCAGGACTTCAGCAAATTCCAGCCACTGAAGAGCAAGCTGTTGGAGGTGGTAGATGACATGCTGGCACACGACATTGCCCAGCTCATGGTGCTGGTGCGCCAGGAGGAGACCCAGCGACCTGTCCAGATGGTGAAAGGCGGAGCATTCGAGGGAACCCTGCAAGGCCCCTTTGGGCATGGCTACGGAGAGGGGGCCGGGGAAGGTATTGATGATGCTGAGTGGGTGGTGGCCCGAGACAAGCCAATGTATGACGAGATCTTCTATACCCTGTCTCCAGTGGATGGCAAGATCACAGGTGCCAATGCCAAAAAAGAGATGGTACGCTCCAAGCTGCCCAACAGTGTGCTGGGCAAGATCTGGAAACTAGCCGACATCGACAAGGATGGCATGTTGGATGATGAGGAGTTTGCCCTGGCCAACCACCTTATCAAAGTCAAGCTGGAGGGGCATGAATTGCCCAATGAGCTGCCTGCCCACCTTATCCCTCCATCTAAGAGGAAAGTATCTGAGTGACAGATGTAGGTAACCAGACAGGCAGTGTTAGAGAGAAGGGGCATGATGACCATAAACACACACAGATACATACATACATACATTCATACATACATACATACATACATACATACATACATACATACACAAACACACACACAGATACATACATACATTCATACATACATACACACACACACAAACACAGTGTGACTTGACATATAGATGAGAAGGGTTCATCCTTTTTTGGACACTTCCAAGTTCCCAGGATTGGAAGAAGGGCAGCTGTACCTCCTCTGTCCCAGGATAAAAGCCTGCGTCTCCAGTCTTCCCCTCTTTCTCCCATCCCCAGAGACACGAGGCAATGGACTGGTCCACAGATGGCCCAGGCCACCCTACCCCCCAGTGCCTCCACACTGAGGCTCTAAGCAGATGGGAAAGGCTTTCCATGGAGTAGACAATTCGCTTTCTTTTCTGTGCTTTTATTTTTCCTCTTTGGCTTCCTAATTAGAAATTTTCTCAGGGGCTGGGAGCAGTGAGGGAAAGGAGAAGCTGCGGGGAGGATAATGAAATGGAGACACCTCGTTAAGGCACTACATCCCAGACCCGAAGAGACACTGGCCCCTGTTCTTTGTATCTTTCTAGCTGGAAAACCCTGTCTTCTTCAACAAACTTGAACTTTGAACTCTGTCTGTCATTTTGTCTTCAAGAATCCCAGATGGGGAGAGAAAGGGAAAACCTTGGTAGAAAAGCACAAGGAAGCTGCCCTGTGGTCTTCATGGACAGGGTGTTTGTAGGTCATGAGTTTATCAGGCCCAGGCTGTCTGGATACTCAGTTTCTTTACATACAGTGAGCCCCTCCTGTGTGGCAGGAGCAGTGTTAGGCACTTTATACATGTTGGTCCCTGAGGTCTTCACTAATGCCCTAGGCAAGTATGCATCACCCCTGTTCTCATTTGTCAGGTGAGAAGCCAGAGACTCAGGAGTTCAGGTGACTTTCCCAAACTCCCGAGGTCCCAAAGAGAGAGGATACTGATCCTCCATTTGTCCCTGTTCTGTGATGAATAATGGTCCTAATGTTGCTATCTGGTGGCAGAGCACAGCACCATCTGAACACAACCCCTCACACAGCCTCCCAGAGTATCCAGGCAAAGGAAAGCACTCACCAGCATTTGGTGGGCCATCAATCTGGCCATCTGTCATCTCCTAGAAGCAAACTGTGCCTTCTGGCCCTGTGCCTCGTGTTCCCAACATCACAGAAGTCCAACCAAGCCATCAGGAGAGTGGGCTGACCTGCTAGATGCTGTCTGTGCCTATTCCTGCCGAGCCTCCCATCCATCCACCTTGAGCATCCCAGCTCAAATTCAGCCACTGGATGTCACCAAGCAGGACTTTGTGCTGGTTCTCAGAAGACCATCTTGAGAGGACTGGGACCTTGTTCTCTGTAGAGTTTCAGTGTTCTTGGCAAAAATCCCCACTGTGCTCAGCGCCCTCCATCCTCCTCTTGGCCTTTTCCTTGGCTTGCTCCCCGGCCACTGACCCAGTGACTGTCTGCTGCACTCCTACTGTGATGGGAAACAAAGCAACTGTAACTTATTTTGTATCTATGTTCAGACTATATAGAGACTGTTCCGTGTATCTATAATGTGCTTATAACTGCAGTGTGTTTGTCATTAGGATTCATGTGAATACAGCACATTTATCCTTTGGTACCCTTCTGGCAACTGAGCATCATTGCATAGTACTAGATTCTGACTTGGGCATCTACTGGCAACTTTGGAAGAAAGTAGTTAATCCCCGCAGAGGTCATGAATGCAATACCTTCTCTTGGACTCGCGTTCTTATCTAGTGGCCAGCTTACATGAAGCTACCAGGGCCACTGTTTCTTGTTTTTCTGGAGTGGAGATGTTTGCTTCAGCAAACTTCTATTTCTCTTGAGTCAATAGTAGAGGACGGCTAAGACAGAGAGATCTCAACTCAGAAGACAGCCCCAACGTACCCAACAGATAAACCATTCCCCTATATGTTGTATTGAGCTGGAGGTGATATAAGAAAGTGGCAGGTCAATTCTGTTTTAGTTCATATGAAATGGAGATGTGTGTGAGTCTCATGCCACCCTGTATGACGCTCATACCATATTCCTGTCCTCCTTTATTTCCCCGTCTCCCCATCTTGTCTTCAAGACCACTCGAAAGGATCCAGAAGGTACAAGAGTGAGTTCCATTTATTCTCTTTCTGCCGCCTGGTGGGAGGAGGAGGTGGTAGTTGCACCTCCCCTCATGGTGGGGGGGGGGTGAGTTCTTCTCACTTGGGCAGTATGCCTCTGGCTCCAGCTGCTGTGACTTGCTAACCCCTTGCAGGACCTGGGTAATTCTGCTTCATCCAAGGGGACATTTCACATGAGAAACAGAGACACATAGTGGTCATGGCATTTACAAAATCCTCTACACCTTTTTCATGTACAATCAGCTTAGACCCTGAAGATCGCCAGTGGCGCAGAAACATCCCACAATCCTGGCCCACTGAAGTGTACCAAAGAGTTAAATCCTGACCAAAAAATAGTTACATACTTGTGCACCTAGGTGAGTTGCCCACCACAGTAGGGTGTGGGCCTCTCTTCACAGACTGGCGAGAGGTTTCTCTGAGTCATCCCCACTCTCATTTGGTTCCCTCTGTTTCAAGAACTAGTATGTGTGAGTTTGTTCATCAAGAACTCTCTGAGGAGAATAAACTTGTTCATTCTCCCTGTGAAATGCCAACTGGCCTCAGTGCATACTCAAACTATTCTGTCGTCGGTCCACCCATCCATTGATGTACCATCTTTCACTTGAGAGGTCCTAAGCACTCCTCACAGAAAGACTCTTAGGAAAATCATAGAGATTTATTCTTTGAGCCATTCAGAACTACATAATAAAGTTCACATGTGTGGTCAGGTCTGTTTTAGATGAATCTAAGCAACTTCTAGAGTGTCCAAAAGCTCACATCCTAGTGGAGAAGTGTGGTATTTACAAAACACTGATAACACAAAGAGGGCATGTAGGGAGAGATGCAGGCAACATGGGGACTTGAAGGAGTCAGAAATGCCTTCAAGACAGTGAAGGTGGAAGTCACAGAAAGCCTGGGGTGAGGGCAGACACCTGGGGAGTAGAGGAATTGGGAATTGGACACTGATTCCTAGAGTTACACAGGGGCAGGTGTATCGGTTGGAAAGAGAAATGCAATTCCCAGGTTTCCTTACAGCCGGGTTCAGGAGTTGATTAATAGGTCACACTCACCCAGTATTCCAATGGAACCCAGGAATGCTGTCCTTCTTTAGAAATGCTTACCAAGAACCCAGAAAAAGTTCTGAAGCCAGCCTCTTGGGCCTCTGTCCTTCCCTCCTAATCCAAGGACGATAGGCAGAATTTTTATCCAAACCTAGACAGTGTTTCCAGGCCACAAGATCGTAGCAGACTTAGAAACGCTGCAAAGCATGATTAGAATTTTTCCTCCGGGGACCCTGCTAGCTTGTTTTCCCATGAGAAAACAAATGAAAATTTTTAAGTGAGAATTTTATCAGTATCTCCAGTGCGTGGAAGAAAAGAAAAATATGGACATGGAGGAGGAAAAATATGGTCAGCTGAGCGGTGAGGGTGTGCCCTCCTAATTGAGCTTCCCCTTTAAAGTTAGGTGGGCTGTGCAACTGCTCTGGCTAGTGCAGTAGGAGTGTGAACAAACTGCCCCTGATTTAAAGAAGCAAATGTGCAGGTTGCTGCATTGTGCAGGGATGTAAGTGTTGGGAACTGGACCCTTGTCTGCTAAGAGCTACACAGAAAAAAACAGATCAGTTGGAAAGAGAAAAACTACAATTTTAAGGCTACTTTGCAGCCAGAATCCAGAGAGATGATCGTAGGTCCTACCTACCAAAAGTACTTGTGGAAACTGCTTAAGTGGCTCGCTGGAGGTGACTCTAACAACTATCACATCGACTTCCTGGTTGGGCAGCTTCAGAACCATGAAGAAGTGAGCTGAGGTTTTTGTAAGGTTAAATAGCCCAATGGGAAACATGCTAGTAGACAGTGCTAGGAAAACTACCTTGTGTTTGCCTACCTAACCCTGGGGGATCATGGAGGCAGTTAGGTAGAATGGTGTGTGTGTATGTGTGTGTGTGTGTGTGTGTGTGTGTGCGTGTGTGTGTGTGCCTGTATGTCTTATGTGTGTGTGTCTATGTATCTGTGTATATGTCTGTGTGTGACTGTGTGTTTGTGTGCATGTCTGTGTGCATATGTGTGTGTATGTCTGTGTGTATATGTGTTTCTGTGTGTGTGTGTGTGTGTGTGTGTGTGTGTGTGTGTCCGTGTGTTGGGCATCAGCATGGGAGGGTACACGGAAGTGGTGCTTACTGGATAGGTGGAGAGGACCAGGCACGGTGAAGCTTTCCAGAGAAAATGGCAAAGGAATTTTCAAAGCAGTAATCCTTCTCAAAGGGTAGGGGAGGGGGTTTAATGACTAAAGTACTTAATACACAAGCATGAAGACCTGATTTTGGACCCTAGCACCCATGTAAAAATGAGGGTACAGTGGTGTGAACCCATGACCCCTAGTACTAGGGAGCTAAGGGACAAAGACAAATAGCTCCCTGGGGCTCACTAGCCAGTCTAGTTAACTGGTGAGTGCAGGTTCAGTGAAGGAATTTGTCTCAAGACAGAAAGCAACTGAGGAAGATCCCTGCCGTTGAGCTCTGGCCTCCACATACCTGTGCACATACATGCATGTGCACCCTCACATACATGTGCACAACATGAACACGTTTTGTAACAGAACTTTTCTAAGAATTGACTGAGACAGGGTTTACTTAGGACACTCCTTACTGTAAAATAAGACTTGTTAGATAGAAACAGGGGCTCTATGTACTTCCCTTAGGATTTCGTGAGCTAGGTCCCTTTCCCTAAGCCAGAAAACATCACTGAATCATCATGGTTGCAGCTACAGCTGGAGGATGGGTCAGCACATAGACATGAAGCTGCATGGGTAGAGCATGGGAAGAGTAGGTGCTGAGTTCCAGCATGGGACCAGCCATGTGCTCTCTGTGCCTCCAATCATTGTTCCCCTAAGTAGAGGTTATTTCAGTCTTTTGGAGCCATTATGAGGGTACAGAGACCAATGGTGGGAAAGCTTTCAAAGATCAACATTCTACATGGGATAGTTTTGTTGTCTTCTACTAGAAGAGACAGACATCAGAGAACAGGGGAGAATTCTATCAATGTCAAGAAAGGAAACCAACTAACCCCAGGAAAGGCATGGAGGGAGACTAGTTGTGGGTGTGATGGACAGAGCAGTGCCCAAATATTGATGCCTGAAAAGTATTCAGAAGCTTGCACACTGCGTGGTTGGTACCTGTGACCTTAGACTCTTGAGCCCACTGCACTCGGGAAAACACTCAGCCACTATGATCTGGTACTGACCAGTCTGTGAATGCTGGACACACTCATTGGATGACTTTGCAGAAGTAGTAGCTGCAATGCAGAACACCTGAGAACTTCAGAGGTTATGGCAGAGCATCCAATGTGTCAAGCAGGACTCCAGAGGCAAGCATCCGCCTTCATATAAGCACCTGGGTTTCTGCTTTGGTATCTGTTTTCAAGGCATTTCTAAAACCTCATTTAAGATTATGAGCAGTAAAAGTGGGCATAGTAGCCCACACCTCAAATCCCAGCACTAGGAAAGCAGAGGCAAAACCATGTCTGTATGTTCAAGACCAGCATGGTCTACAGAATGAGTTCCAGGCCAGCCAGGGCTACCTAATTGAGACCCTATAAAACTATAACAATGACAGATAGATTATTGTAGGAAGAGGTGACCTTCCTCACCTCCTAATCCTTTCACAGGAAGGGACTAGGGGACTAGGTTTAGCTCACCATTGAATGAATTAAAAATATTTTGCCCTCATGAGGATGCTAGGTGAATCTAACTTTGGTCTAGGTGTCTTTGGTCATAAGGACACTCCCTTTCCTTACCCCTATTAATGACTATGCATGATGCACCAATCCTCTACTATCTGGACCTTTTGTCCTTACTAGGTCGGTAATCCATTAATCCATTCCTGTCCTCCATGTCCGCTCCATCCCCAGGCGAAAGGTACTACTATCACCTGTTGACTGATTTGAGGAACCAGGAGACTACCAGTGACACCGTGAGGGCAGACACTGCTGCCGTAATTCCCGAACTTTATGAGCTAGGGCAAAGGGTCCCTGTCAAGCTGGCAGGGAAGCTGAAAGATGCAGGATCAAGCAGGCATTTAGGGACATCCCTCCCAAAGCAGCGCTTACGCGCAGAATTCTCTGTAGGTCTTCACCTACTTGCTGAATGCCTCCTCAGCTTTTTTTGGCTGGGGGAAGCAATTCCACTCATTCCAAAACAATCTTCGGCCATGTGTGGTGGAATGAAAAGGCACAACCCACAGCAGGGAAGCCAGCGGGTACTCTGTGCCCTGAGCACAGTGACCGTTGTAGCTCCGGACCAGCTACAGCTTGTCCTCTTGATACCTCGGTGTGTCCAGGGCAACTGGAACTGAGACCAGAGATACCAGTGGCCGTGACCTCTTCTGCAGTGCTTCCTGGAACTTCTGGGGATGGAGAGAAAACAATCAAACTGATTCTGAGCCCCAGCACTGGGCCAGATGTCATTCCTTAGCCACGGAAACTCATTTAGCTTCTAGTTCAATGTCCTAATC